AACTTGCGAACAGCCACGACCCTCTGTTCGCCAATGAGCTCCCTTGAAAGCATCGCCGTTGTCAACGCTAATGCTTGACGATGCAGAGGGAGGGCAAGGATGCAGTGGTTTCAACTATGGCTGATGAGATGAAGTCGGGGAATGGGGAGATGTTTCAGGCTAGAAGGGTTGGTGATGAATGGTGGGAGGGGAAAGGGTCAGACTAAGAGAGCTCGCGAGTCTGGGGCCGCTCTAAATCCAATTCGCCCGCCATTTCCGGGTTCGTAGCGCAACTGTCCAAATAGAAAAGAAGGCGAAAGTGGAACGTGAAGGTAGATGTGTTTGGGGACGACGAGCAGCTTGATCATTCCTTACATGCACCTAAGCCAAGACCTCCATACCCCTATGGTACACATTATCCCTCTCCTGCGCCGTCCACGGTATTAGCGCTGTATGGCATATCGACAGCTTCCTCCTCTTCAAGAACCAGGAGGGTGCTGTTTAGGTGCTCATGAAGTGTCTGTTTCGAAGAGAGTTGGGTGCTGCGAGAGTGTCGTTTGTGGATCTTTGGTAATGATGGTGTTGGTGATAGTGTTGAGCTGTCCTGTGAAGGGAAGCAGGGAGGAAGAATGGCTGTGATTCCTCGAGTTCTTAATCGTTGATATTGGCGAGCAGCCGCTCGATAACGTCCGTAATTCGCCTGGATACTATGAGAAAAGGAGAATGGAATGAGCCATATGGGCGAGTCAAGAGATATAGAAGAAATTCACACCTTTTCTCGACTGTAAGTGGGGAAAGTGTCTTCGAATTACGGTCCTCTCCTATGGGATTAGACGTCGACGGTCTTCGACTGTGACGTTTGCACCCTAAAGCAAGTTGGGCGTAGCCAGATGAGGATCAAGAAATGTACAGAACGAGCTATGCGCACCTGATAACGCCAGCACAACAAAACATAGAGGCAAATGCTGGGAAGATGTAATGGTTGGGGAAGTGGGCCACGAGACACGCTGCAAACTCTGAGAGTGAGTGTAAATGAATCTGCAGTAGTGGCATGGGTTTGTAAGAACTGGGAAAAGGATAGAAAAGGGGATGGAACGAACCTTGGACTCTTTCATCATCTCCTCCACTCGAAGTCCGCTACGTATCGTCCTCCGCCTATGGGTACGTATCACCAGTGGGTTTCCCGGCCTAACGGCGTGTTTGAGTTGCCGTCCAAACACTGTTTGTTGCGCGTCTGAAAGTTGTCCTAGTGGTGATCGAGCCCTATCATACTTCGACAATTATGGCGCAGGAAGGGTGGGTCATGGCTCCTAGGGGGCCGGGGTCAGACGGAGGAGGGATCAAGATGGGGATGGGGAGGGGACGTACTTGTAGAATTTGGCTTCATGACGTGCACTATGGATAGCCAAAAGATGAACAACTTGAACAAAATCAGGACATACATGTCATTCAAACCCAAGTACTCACCAGCTCCCAAACGAAACCAAGACGCGATCACACGCTATATGTCCTCCGTCCTTTCTTCAGCTACTGCCAAATCTTCCAGAGTTTCTGGAGAGGTGCCTAGCGCTATTCTTCGGTTCTTCCCCATTTTTCGGCGGGTTTTCACGGGAGCTTTTGAATTGATAGCACTGCAGTAGCTCTAAGGGGTTGTTGAGGGCTTTAAAAGGAGTTTTTAGACTGCTTTGTGAGTTTTTGTGGGTTTGCAAGATGGGTACAGGATAGCGTTGGTATTTGTCACGTGGTGGGCGCTTGATCACGGTTTGAGATTCTACAACTGGCGCCGTTCCGCTTTCATCTTGTTCTCAAGAAAATAGATAAGATGTTAAGGATTGATTCCACGATAGATTCTACGACGGAGAAGATTTTGGGCGAGAGCGTTGGAAAAAGCTGCATTGCCGTCATCCGCCATTGACATCACGGAGTTAGGTGGAAGGGATTCGGTCGCGAGTCTTGCGGCAGCATCGTCCCAAAGAGAGAGAGGTAAGGAAAGTTGGTTCAAGACACAGTCGGACTGCAGTAACAAAGGTGTTGGACTTTGATAAGCTCGATACCTATGTTGCTCATCCTGCAAGAACCAACCTCCAAGCATGGTCGCTATCTTCGCCAACGAACCTCGAGAGCTCGTTGTCGAAACCTCAATCCAATCGGCATGGTTAACCGCGCGCAGAAGCCAGCTCCGCCAAATGGGCCATCCTTGCGATGGAATCGGGTGACAAAGTCGCTCGAATTTGTGAGAAGCTTTCGCAAAATTTACGAGGTGAGCTGCTACACCGTCGATTGGGTTATAAAAAGGCAGTTAAAAGGTAGAATACGGAGAGTGCACACCTTTTCCGTGACTATAGGCGGGGGAAGCTTCCTTGGGTATCGAGAGAGCATACAGACGGCGAATCTTGGACAAGAGAGTATGTAGAGCTA